AGAGATTAAATTTGTTAATGATATCAAAGTAAGAAACATGCATTTTACATTCTTTGTTAAAAATACTTGCCTAGTTTTTAAGTATACCTTTGATAAATGAGGGGGGGTCATCTCCACAGCACCATCCTAGGGAGGAGTCCTGCTTCCGCAACACCACCCTAGGAAGAGTGCAATCTCAGATAGCGGCTACAACTTTATATATAAATCAATCTCCTTATATTGTAGCTGTTTTTGTTTTTAAAAAAATAGTCCTGTATATTACATGTGCGCATATATAAGTGCGCAGGTATGCAGAAAATAGAAAAGAACACGTTGGGTGCATAATCCGGAGTTCCTTAGTATTTTTGTTTTTATTTTTAAGACAGTGCTCCATACATAAGTAGAGCTTTATTATAATAATATTTTTTTGTTTAAAAATATGATTCCTTCGCTACATAAGAGTTCTCATGTTTCAAAAACGAGAGCCGAAATCATGCAAATAATTATTAAAATTAAGTTGAATTGAGGTGTTTAGTCGCGTTTCATCTTCAAGCAAAATTTTAGGAATAAGCTATCTTTTGGTTTACGTGTGTTTTTAGGCATGGTCCGTCATAACATTCGTTTTTGTGGGGGTGGCTATGCTAGTTTTCTTCTTTAAGTGGTCAGAGAGTTAATTCTTATCTATAGATTTATCATCTTCTGAGAGGTTTTGCTAAGGTTGGGTAGGGTATCTATTTCAAGGCTAATGTTGGCGGTCATCCTTTAGTTGCTCCCATTGCGGGATATTTTTATGGCGCACCTAGAAGTCGTCATGTGTCGGGAGGATTGTGTTTCGTTATTGTCCATCTGATTATCTATTTATTTATTTGTTTATTCAAGTGAGTGTTTTATATACAAACCGTATTGCACTGAATTTCCAAAAGATAGCTTATTCCTAAAATTTCGCTTGAAGATGAAACAAGACTAAACACCTCAATTCAACTTAATTTTAATAATTATTTGAATGATTTCGGCTCTCGTTTTTGAAACATGAGAACTCTTATGTAGTGAAGGAATCATATTTTTAAACAAAAAAATATTATATATACACACACACACACACCTTTAGAAGTTAATCATAACCTATTTAAAACATCTATCTCTATTCTGTACCTTTCTGTCTAGGCATGAAAACAACTTTCTGACAAAAAAAAATACCTAAGAGTACTTGATACTCATTTGTGCTGGAGTTTATGCCACTGGATTCATCCTTTTCTGTAAAAAAAAAAATAAGTCTTGCTCATAGGTGATGTCTTTCCCACTTTCACCCTCCAGCAAGTTACTGACTGACTGACCAATTTGCAAGTTGGCAGATGATCAGCTAAAATTATCTGAAAGCAAAAATTTCTTTGGCACATAGAGATATTGTTAAATTTTACATTACTGCTTTTGGCACCATTTTGATTTCCATTTTTAAGTTTGTTTATTATGTAAGTTTCAACAATTAGTTTTGTAAAGTGCGAATTATTTTCAGAATATTTAATGCTAAACTGTTAAGTATGAAATCATTGTTAAACTTTTCTTAAATTTGATTTTATGTAGTCCATTTAATACTATGATCAAACCTGTAATAGAATGATAAGTCGAAGACTTTTTTTTTATCTACTGTGCAATACAATAAATGTATTTTTTTTTTTTTTTTATTCCCTTTTGATATTTTGTCTTTTTATTGTAAGATTTTGCGATATCTTATTTTAACATAAACAACTTTCAAGGCTTTGATTAAAATTATCTTCTTTTTTTAAATACTAAACATAAACTGCTATTTTATGTAAAAACTATTACAAAACTGGGTTTTATTAGTACATTGTACCTTGACAGATGCCATGTCCTTTTTCCATAAGTCATTGCAGGTAAATTAATACCACGCGTAGTGCACAAGAATCGTCTCTCCTTGTCAAAGCTTTGAAGAGTTAACATTCCTAGTATTTTTTTAGCCATTTAAACCATTTCTTCATGTATTTGATCTTGACACATTTCAGCCAAGAAGTGGGTGGGGGACTTTTCTTCCTGGACAGAAAGGTCATTAACTGGATCCATTCATTTTGGTAGTACTTGACACTTAGATGATTCTAAACTATACACAGGAGTTACTTAAAAATTTATTTGCAAAACGAAAAATGCTGTTGAAATTTATATTTGCCCAATCAATGAACCTGTTTATTGACTTGTTACTTGAGACTGACTTATGTGATGGTTGGTTTCTCTTTATGAACGTTTTCACCTATGCATAACATGCTAATATAATCACTTCTTTCAGAAGTGAACAACACAAGTAAAATTTTCTTAAAGATCTTACACCTGACAAGAGCCAAGAAAAAATGGATCAGTTAAGATGTTGCATTGATAATATCAAGTACAAGAAGAAAGGATTACAATTATCCAAACAAATTAATTTGAAATGTTAACTCTTTTAGTTATAGACAACACTAAAACAAAATTTTTATTTGTTTAGTTAGAAAGAAAAAAAATCAAGACTACTGTATATGCTTGGGTATAAGCCAATTTCATTTATAGTGCGACACTTGAATTTGTTTTTGCATGAATTTTAATCCCCCCCCCTGAAAAAATTTACTTGCATATAGTGCAATCAGTCACTGAACGTGATTTTTAACCTCTTCAAAAAAAAAAAAAAAAAAGCGCAACTCCATCATAACAATAATATCATAAAAACTCACACTATGCTTGGGTATATACAGTAATTAAAATGATTTGTTTGTTATAGCTTCACACTCACTCTCTCACATACATACATATGGTTATTACCACATCTTACTCGGATAACTGACTCTTCACCCCTTGCATCACTTGTAATGGCTTCCAACTCATTTTGTCAACCATAAGGTGAGGTCAGCATTTGATTTCATAGGTATCATGAATAAACTTTAAACCGGTAAACTTTGTATCCTTGATTGGATCTTCATACCTTCCAAATCGCCTGTGTAGCACCATGTGCTTTTTTAGTCCAGATAATGATCTGCAAACCTTGTTGCAAACACAATTATTGTTGGCAGGACAATGAGGCAGGTTGGCATAGTTGGTTTGCTTCTGGTTTGTTATCACCTTTCGGATGGTTTACGTAATCTGTTCTCAAAAGTAGCATGTGCTCACACACACATCACCACGTTTCCAAGATTGCATATTAGTTAGCAAATCAGAGTGAGTGCCTCCTTGTAGATCACACATGCCGGAGACCTTCATCCTTAAAGGCATTGCATCCCTTCCTAATAAAAAGCCTCCACTTTGTATAGTTTAGTCAGTTCATGTTAATGCTGTACATCTATATGCAATGCATTCTGATTATCCTTCAAATTATCTTTAAAACTCTTCTTAGTCTTGTGTTGTGAATGCTTTCCTGCCATCAGTTTGCTGTAGAAAAGTTGTTTGGAAATCCTGTTATTTCCCGTGTGGACCCTCCATAAGCATTTGATGAAAAAAAGCTTATTTTATTTTTACCTAATAGATAAGTTTAGGGGTTGTATTATAGAAATAGTAAATATATATGCTTTATTTTGAAGTAAAACTAATTTAATGACAATAAACTTGTATTTAACAACTAAATTCTATGAAACATTTATGTACACTGTATCCTCAGTTTTGATTCAAATTTTACAATCAAAACATCTGAAGGGACGATAACTTACATCACTTGATCTTACTTTCTGTTAGTTTGAGTTGTTTTTTGTTTTTTTTTTTTTAATATGGCATAATAATAACCATTTCAAAGTGAAATTGTTCTAGGGACCACTAAAATATTATTACGGACCCTGGATGAGAACCACTGGCTTAGTTCACTCTTGATTACACTCTAGATTATTACCCAATATATAGTGAAATGTGGATGTTAACTTTTTTTTTTTTTTTTTTTTTAATACTTATATATGTTCCAAAGGTTGTGATGGTGGGACAAGCTCCCACTCTCTATAAAATGCTTCCATGACATCCTTTTCAAATAGCCTCAAGCTGGAGAATGGACAACTGTCACCTCATAAACCAACTTCTTTGGGTAGATGGAGCTTGACAAGAAGGCAATCCATCTAGGAGAAGGAAAACCCTGATTTTTAAACCTCTGCTGTCTTGCAGTCATATCCAAACACCAAAAAGACTATAGAATTAAATCCGGACAGGAAACCTGGAGTAGAGCCCCAAAGGTGGTTGAGAATCAACACTGACAACTTTCCAACAACTCCTGCAGTCAAGATGTCCCCAAATGTAATGCCCAGCATTTATTTGGATCTTGTTTATACAGTTGATAAGTGGGGGCCCATGTAATTTTGGCAGCATATGACTTTCATGTACCATTGCCCAGGCCTGCACCCTGGAGAGACCACTTCAGTCTCACCCACTGAAAGACTGGATTTTGACCGGACAAAGTGCTACCTTGTGAGATAACAGATGCCTACTATTTTTGTGAGGTTTCTCTTTACATTAAAGCTGAAGGTGTATTTTAGAAATATGTAATTTTTTTTTTTTTTTTTTTTTTTAACTTCACATCTAGTCCTTTAATTTGTTCTGTACAACGTCTCTTTGAATAAATATATTTTGGGGTATTATTCCCATTTTGCATAAAGGTTTATTATTTATCGAAATAGGAAATAAAATTCATATCATGTGAACTTTTGATTGGTTTATTAAAGTTTCATGAAAATCTCAACAAGCAACGAAAAAAAAATTGCATGCTGTCAGAAATGACCTGGAACTTTCTCTGTATGAAAATTCTCAAGGTGATATATTGCTTTTCACTCTTACCCTCCTCCCTTTATCCATCACCCAATACATGCTTCTACTGCATGTCATTTCTTGTCCCAACATTTAAAAGGACTAAAGGCTGAACTAGTTTTGTCAAATTTCAAACTGGATCTCTTAACACCAAATGTTCCATCATTTGAACTTACATCTACTCTATTGTTATTAACTAATTAAAACTTTGTTTTCTCTTTAACCCTCTTGTAACATGTTTTTTCTTTATTTTTCCCTTCTAGAAAATCCACAGTTGGTGTTTCGAGATAAAGACATTATGCTGAAAGAAATAAAAAAATATAAAGGAGCTCGGTTCAAATTATTTTCGAAAGAACAAGTAGCCCTCGATTATACAAAGTCTGTTCCAGAACCTGTCACTACACCAGTCAAAAGTACATTTGTAAGTCGTCTTTTTAAGAAAATTTTCCATAGATAAATGTGCTATATATATATATATATATATATATATATATATATATATAAAAAATATGACAATTTGGACAAGCTTCAACTTTGACGTATTGCATCAATGAACTAGCATTGTCAGTGGGGGGGAAAGTATTTTATTTCATAACAACAAAATTTACATTGACAAGACAAAACCCGATTCACATTAGTTTATTTTTAACTATATCGTTATAGAAAGTAGATTGTAACTAATTTCAGCTTTTCTCCTTTCCTTCCCCTCTTGGTCTATGTATACCATATTGTTTCAGTATTAATTTAATAAGAACAGATGTTAAATGACTGGGATCTTTCAGTTGATTGTTTCTTACTAAATTAATACCGAAAGAATATGGGATACATTGACCATGAGGGATGAAGGAAAAGTTGAAATTAGTTAAAATCTAATTTCTAGGACAATATGATTAAAGTAGTAGTTTTTAACCATTTAGCATTTTTTATGACACCTGTTCATTGGCAAAACATCTTAAGTTGAAGCTTTCCATATATATTTAATACTGTCAGATTCTAATCCAAATTTATTCACACAGATAAGCGTTAACAGTATTGTTATAGAAATTAGATAACTAATTTTAACTTCTTTTTCTATTTTTATTTTTTTTCTTTATAGCTTACTTATACCACAGTTTCCTGTACTAATTTAGTAAGAACAGATGATAAATTGAAATAGCCTAGTTTTATATTAATCATAAGGGTTTCATAGATCATGGCACTTTCAGTACATCGTCATCTGAGTAAATTGTTTATTTTTTAAAACAGCTTTTTTGCAGATATGTGTGATTAGTAAATATAATAATCCAGAAAATATATTTACAGTTACACATGTATTCTTCCTTTTCAAAGTCTCTAGACTTGTCTCATTACAACACTGGTTCTTGTACAATCACCAAAGTTAAGCAACATTGAGCTTGGTCAGGACCTAGGTGAGTGACTGCCTGGGAATACCAGGTGCTGTAATCTTGGATGTGTAGGTGGTGTAATGGATAATGGCTCAAAATTGGAGAACCATGTTCCAATTACATTTCGGTTCATTGTATTCACTTGTGCATAAATATCTTTGGAAAAAGTATGACTCCACCTCTTTTTTCCTCCCATTTAAGGGTTAATTATTAGGACTTGTATCAATAAATCATTCTCCAAGAAATTCTTACAATCTAAAAATATTTTCTGACTTTCAATAACCTGCAAAGGGTTGATAAGCCATTTAAAAAAAAAAAAAAAATGTAAATAACTTTTGACTATTAATCAGAAATTTTGTAAAATCAGCATCAAATGTATTAATTGTTGGAAAGTCTAATATTTTTGCTTTTTGTTAGTTATATTTATTATTTGGGGTTTTTATTATAAATAAAAAGGACAATTTTGAGGGGATTTTAATAGTCCATTTAAATTTTTGTGAAGCCTCCTCTTTTGCATGTGTAGAATGTGCCTATGAGCCTAACTGCAAAGAATGGTCCCCCCCTTAATTATTAAATGCTTCTAAATCTCAAACATTTTTAGATATATTTATTAACCTCAAATGCAGCAGAAGTTTTAAAAGCATGGATTTTCTGTTGCCTACATGTTTTGTATTAGCATTTTAAAATATTCAGCAGCAATTGGAATTTGTCACTCCCTTAGAATTACTAACAATTAAAGGCTGATTATAAAAGGGTACAAAACTCTCCAGTAAATGATAATGCCATCATGAGGTAATTATAAATCATTATTGTATTAGGGAGAAAGTGTGTTGGTTATGGAAATAGCTCTTGATAAACAGTCAATTCAGTTGTAGAGTTGCATTATAGCCCCTTTTTTATCAAGGGGCTTGGCATATGTACACTTAATTAACTTAGACATTTATACTTGTCAGTATTTGCTGAGAGTTCTGCTTGCTGTAAAGCCTGTTTGCATGCAAATATTTGATTTCTCTTTTGTAAAGAATGGGAGTTTTGCCAAGCCTTCTTAGTGAACAGGAAGTAGTAAGCTTTGTTTGTTGGTCAGATCTTCAGCTGTAGAACTGCTCTTTTTTTTTTTTTTTGTAATAGCCATAAGCAACATTGTTTCAATTTCTTAAATGTCTGACAAAAATTGCCAATTTCATTTAAAACTATTATATTATTTTTAAACTCTTGGATATGTATTTTAATGACAAAATAAAAATGGTTAATTTTATGCTGGTTTAAAAAAATATCTCATGCCAATTGATTTTTAAGTCATTGGTAATTATTATAATTTAATCTTTTTGCCTCCGAAATTAGAATAAAATAACCACTGTTTAAATTTTACAAGAACGTGACATGTCAAGTGGGCTGAGGATTTTTGCATAGAACTATTTAATAGCAAATAAAGAATGAAGTAGTTTATATTAATCATCACAACTATCAAGTTGAACACACTTGTACATTTTTTTTTCTTTTTTCATAAATAGAAATAAGTGCAAAAAATTCCTGAAACATTTCATATCAATAGTAAAAGTTTTGGTGCATGAGAAGTCTTTAGTAAATGTGTGTGTGTATATAATTGTTTAACAAATCCTCAAAAAAAAAAATATACATTTCTGTGTTATGCCATGAAAGATTTCAATCAAATATTACATTATCTTCTGCATTCATTTTTTTTTTTGTATAAAAAAAATATTCAGTAACTTTAATTTAAATAATTGGAAGATTTTTCCTAGGAAAAACCTATGTAGAACTTATGAAAAATTATACTTGTATTCTTCAAATTCTTTTAAGTGCTATTACTAACATTTTTAACACCTACAAATGATCTAATTTTAGTTATATATATATATATATATATATATATATATATATATATATATATATATATATATATATATAATGTACCTAAAAATTAATTTAGGTTGAAATCTTTAAATTTATTTTGACCTTTCTTTCCTCTCTATTTTAGTTCATGCAATTGATTCTTTGCCTGTTGTACTTTCTTTTCTTTTTTTTCTTGTGTATGTGATAATAGCAAAATGAAGACACAGCTGGTAATAGTCCTCATCCTGCAATGTTGGAAAAAGGCAACTGGAAGGCTCCCAAAGGAGCTGATTTAGTAATACTAAGGAAAAGTATTGAGGCTGGTGACTTTCAATCCGTACAAGACATGATCAACAGTAATCCTCGCTTCCTCATCAGTTGTGGTGACACTCCATCCATACTACATGTAAGTATTTGTTGTATAGTGTTGTATAAACTTACTAACAAATTTACTTGAAACAACTTTCAAGAGACATCTGTTGAATTATGTGCTAAGTAATGTTGGATATGTAATCCTGGTTTTGTATTTTGTCAACCCTTTCTCCGTTATTGTATTATACATTTTGATTTGTGAAAAATAGTATTTTGACCATTATTTCTCTTTGATTAGGAACATACATATATTATTGGGTTATCAGATTATTGCACCATAATCAAGTTATAAAGCAACTTGAAGCTCTGTCAAAGCCTTCAGTGAGTTTACACAGTGTGTGGTAGAAATACCTCTTGCATATGTCTCCCAGATAATGGTATGACATTAGTGGCAATGGTGTCTTCATCTAGCTAATGTCTTGCCATTATATGGGAAGTATTTTTGATGCTCCCTGTATTTTAATATTAATTTGTATGTATACATACCAAATGATTCTATTAGAGCAGGGTTTGGCAACTCATTCGACCCCACGGGCCAGATCATGTTATAATGACTGGTCACGGGCCGGAAGAAGGCCATTAATGAAAAATTAAGGAAAATTACATATGCAGACCCCTGTCAACCTAAATATTTAAAACCATAATGAAAATAAACATTGAGAAATCAGAAAAACAAAAGAAAATATAAAATTAAAAAACACCTAACAAAAATTACTTTTCCTCAAGGAACGTCAAAAACCTTCAAAGTGAAAAAAATCAACCGAAGTGAAATTGACGTGTAGGTTTGAAACTGTTATTGAAAATTGTTCCACAAACGAACCACACACACACACACACACACACATCAAACATCAAACAAAAACGAAGCACATATACCCATACATACGAGTGCAAATAGTTGCAAACATATACACTTACGTACGTACACATGCAGTATCATCCACACATTCATGAGGCATGTATGTATAATGTGCGTATGTTTAACTGTCTTTAGATTGCTGCTACCTCGCATGTCAATCCCTCCCTGGCCTCTTTCACTTTATCGTTCCTTTTGCTTCTGTTATCTTTTAATGTAGCCAAGGGTCATAACAAATATGTATCCATTATTTGACATTAAACATAGGCAACACAACTTGGTAAAATAAGTCTCATGAAAGATAACTGGCAGATAGTCTAAAAATAGTAATTGGTAATCAGGCTTGCAGGCCGGTCAAAATGCCTTCACGGGCCGAATCCGGCCCACAGGCCGTAGGTTGCCAACCCTTGTATTAGAGCAATGATTATAAAACTGATTTTACCACAGATATCAACCCATTACCTATTGTAATATTTTAGTGGCTGATGCTTTATTTTTATGCTAATTCTTTTTTCTGGTCTCATAACAGCAAAATGAAGATACAGCTGCTAATAGTCTTTTTTGGTGATTGGTCCTCAAAAAGTTTTAATAATCTTTTTATCTCTGATCTCCAGGAAGGCACTCGGTACAATGCTCTTCATGTTGCGGCCAAAAGCAACCAACCAAAGATTATCAGATTGTTAATCCAGACAATTGAGGATCCTAGTTTCTTTCCAAAACTTTATGGCCAGAGTCAGGATGATGATGATGCCAGAAATGTACGTGTCCAAAAGTTGTTGGATCTTTACCTGAATACACCTGATAAAGGGGTAAGGCTTTCTTTATCCCTAAAAACCTGGCTTTTTTTTTTTTTTTTTTTTTGTTAGCTTTTTTTAATGTACTTGTCTTTGACTTCAAATAATATTTGAAACAATGCAACTAGACTTAAAAAAAATTTTTTTTTTGACCATGTAAATATATTAACAAATAAATTCCAGTGAATTAGTATTTGATTATTTAATCCAGTGGTTCCCAAAATGTTTTAGCTCATGGCCCACTTTCAACCCAGAATTTTTCTGTGGCCCATGAAATTATAATGTAAAAAAAATTACTTCAGTTTTACATAGTTGTATCTTTTGTCTATTTAGTGGGCACACACAATTTCACAAGCATCAAAAATATTTCACATCTCCAATGAAACAACCAGTTATTATCAATGTTTATTTTTACAATTTTTTCCTTATATATGACACAAAATTTAAAAAAAAAAAAAAAAAATACTCTATGGACCATTCAATAAACTGTGACCCGGTAAAAAATTATAAAATTTCTGTGGTCCACTTGAAATTTGCCATGGCCCATTTTTGGGAAACATTGGATTACATAGAATTTTTATCAGACTGTTCTGATACTTTAACTGTTCAGTATTTTTACCTAGTTAGTAATTTCTGAACAAAAGCAAGCAAATATTTAAATATAATTCTATAATTATTATATGAGTAACTAGAAAAATAACTTGATAGTTTAAATACTGACAATTTTTCTATAAATTTTTAATCAATGTGATATTGGAAAGCATAGAATATAATCTGGGATTACATCACTCTTTGCAATCCCAAATATGCATAGAAATAATTGTTATAAAATTGGTTCCCTGTTTTGTATATAATTGTGTAAGTGGTGATGACATTATTATTATTTGTTAAGTTGAATAGTATTTTGTATTTTCTTAAAATTGCAATTGGCAATTCTACATGGCTTATATTAGGTATCCCAAACTGAAATTTTATTTTCAAGATATCTAAAAACCTTTAATACAGGTAAGAGAGCTTGACAAACCAGAAAAAATACCAAATTTATCTTGGTATCTCATTATTTTAACTTTTCGTCAAGAAATTAAAATCAGTGAGTAATTGTGGCAATGTCTTTAAAATGTCTTAATTTTAAATATGTAGAAATTTCACATATTAATTAAATACTTTTTATTTAAATATAAACTTTATTTAAATGCATAAAATATTTATTTAAACATGTAATTTTTTTTTTTTTTCACAAACTAGTTTTAGGCTGTAATCTATCAAGTAAAAACAAGATTTAACTTCAAATAAGATATTTAAATTATTCAAAACGATTTTGAAGTTTTCTTCCACAAGTTTGTACAATACTTTACAAATGACCATTAAAAGCCCTATTTTAACTTTTTATGAACAAACGAGAATGAGTAATTTAAAGGTCTAAAAATATACCCAGTTTATTTTTTATTATTTTTTTCAGTTAAATTTTTTAAGGAAATAATAGCTGAGGCAACAGCAATTTGAGCTGACAATTTAGGCAAAATATTGTTTTTATTCAAACTGTCCACTTGATTTTATTTCAAAACTGATTTAAAACTGGATTCAGCTGGTGATCTTCATTCACTTGATCAGCAATACAAATTTTGATGCTGTGGACCTGATTGTTTTGCACAAAATAAACATGGTATATTTTTTTTTTATTCATATGCACCTAGAATTAATTGGGTGCAGAGATATGAGACCTTGCTCTATAAGGTGTAAATTTAATTTTTTAAGTGTTGAATTTTGCTAGTATTTCATCCACTAAAATTTTCAACTTAGAAATATTAATATTAATAGTAAAAGATGACTTCGAACCATATGTTTTGCCCACCAAATTGGTAAACATACTTTTTCTTTAAGATGGGACTCTTTGAAAATATGCTAAATTGCTATTGTCATTAAAATAGTGACAGAATTTAAACAGACATGGAATAAAAATTAATCACACATGAAAAGGAATTATATATTTAGGAAGAGAAAAGATTAAGTTTTGTTTACATGCTAATTTTATCAAAATAGCCTTAAAAAATAAACAAGCAATTGAAATAAAAGGAAATTCCATTATTTTGACACATGCCTGCACTGTAAACTAGGACTGCTTGGGATACCTACTTATATTGTTGACTATCTTGTTTCCTCTCCTACTTCATTCCTCCAGCTTGCATATTTTGTTCCAAACGTGAAGATACTTATTTCAATAAATTTTAATCAAGACATAAATATGACTGAAAAGCATGACACAAAAGAATAGAGCTTTGATTTATACAAATGGTAATAGTTTAAAACACTTGCTTTTAGTTACTATTTTTCCTTTCTAGTTTATTGTATTTTTCAATTCTTTCTGTTTTAAAGCCTTGTGAAACTCCATTGCATTTTGCCTGCAAGTTTGGCCATAAAGAAGTTGTTGAAGTACTAATGTCTCATCCATTAACAGAAGCAAATCCAAAGAACAAATTTGGAGAGACACCTGCTGATGTGAGTTATTTTTTTCTTTGTATTTTTATTTTGTCAAATTGTTTGAAACTTAAAAAAAAAAAAATCAAATTTCCTAATAGCTACAACTACTTTATTATTCATCATCCTGTTTGTTATTCCTGTTATCATAATTACTCTCCCCCCCACCCCATTTGTAAAATTCACTTGCTGCAGTTAGAATATAGTGCTAAATTCTCAGTCAGAATGTCCATTTATAAAGTCAATATTTACACAATAATTTTTTTTTATTGAAAGTTAAGCCACTTGCCTATTCCAAATGGTTATAATTGAATGATAAAGCATTATTGATTACACTAAAAACAACAAAAATGAGGACAATAGTCCAAATATGAATAGTATAAATAATTGATTACAATTTAACATTTATACATTGGTTTAAGTGCAGTAGAGGCAACTTTCTGTCTGTTTTCAAAATATAGCAATAACTTTAATAAACTGAAATTTGTATCATTTGAATGATACGACTGCAATGATTAAAATTCTCATCTGCATTTGAGTTAATGCTTGTTTATGTGAGATATATATATAACAAAAGTGTGGGTGTTTTTTTTTTTTGTTTTTGTTTTTTTTTTTCCATAAACTAAATATAGCAATGAAAGTCATGAGTAAGCATCAAATTCTGCAGGTTTAGACCCAGGCTTAATTTTTTTTTTTTGCAAGTGTCTCATAATTTATATAGTGTGCAATGAGACTGAGAATAAAAATGGTTTTGTCAAGAATTAATGAAAGTATTATTGTGTGTGTAAAATAGTTTATATATATATATATATATATATATATATATATATATATATATATATATATATATATATATATATTTGTCATTTAACTGGTTATATTCAGCATTCCAACTCTAAAGTTTCATAGGTGAACCTTTTTGATTCACTTGTTAAAAAAATAATTTTATGTGATTTTTATTGGCATTAGGTTATTTTTTTTTTTTTTTTTTTTTTTTTTTTTTTTTTGTCTCTGAGATATATATGCATAATTGTATCTCATTAATGCTATTTTACATAGGTTTAGTTTGTGCCTTTCAAGTATCTTCTATAGTGCTCCACTGTCTATAAAATTATAGTCACCAGAAAGTGAGCATTATAAGTTTCTCTATGTAAAAAAAATGTTTAATAATTTAATCTGAAGGGAATAATGGCTAATATCAGCATCATTAAAAATAATCATTCTCTTAACAAAGCTTAACATAGAGAATCTGTATTAGACCAAATTTCAATTAAATTTGTCTTTCTGCAAAAGACCTTTATTTATATATATATATATATATATATAACAAAGAAAACAATCTTTTGTTTTTAATTATTGCATGTTTAATATTGGTTACATCATAACTGTAGTTACTCTTTTTGTGTCTATTAATGAGTTTCATTTCCTTTTTAGTTGATATGCCGAAGAGTAGATAAACCTTCTACACAATTACACAATGTTATCAAAGAGTACCTGAAAGGTAAGGTATTTTTTTTCTTGGAGGATGAAAATGATCAAACTTTAAATTTGTACTTCTCCTTTAATAATATTTTTATAAAAAAAACTAGCAGCATTACTCCGTGTTGCCTGGGTTTATTCAAAAAAAAGATCACGAACCTCATCCAATCTGTAAAGTTAAAATAAAGATTTTTCTTTAGTGCCTCTTATCTATATGGTGAAAAATTATAATGACATGAAGTGTGAAAACATTTATAACAGGAGAAAGTTGTTTTTTACAGAAGCACAGAAGATGCAAAAAAAAAGATTGTCAGCAAATGAAGAGTACATTAATTGCAATCGATCTTTGAAAAGTGAGGAGAAATGCTTTGTTGACAACTTTTGCTCAAACTACATCGAATGAACAACATGCATTGGAAGGAAAAGAAATTCAACAAAGATTTCTCCTAGCAGCCGTGCCAAGGTTGAAAACCAACGTTCACAAAGACTGTATAGAATTGTTCTTTGCCCCTCAGTTTTGACAGCTCGCGTAGCAGGAGTTCTGGCAGCATTCCTTCCTCATCTAGTTAACCGCTGCTTATTAGTTTCTGCTGACCTTGCATTAGCTGTATGAATAGCATTTTGTGTCAGTCTAATTTGAGTTTCTTGTTGCAAAGCGTTTCTTCTGTGCTTTCATGCGCTTGGCTGTAGTAGTAGCACGTCCAAGTGAAGGATTTCGCTTTCTCAGCATTACTATCAGGCTGTAGTTGGAGGGGTTTGGCTAAGCTTTTTGAATAACAATGAAGTAATCAATTAAAAAGCAAGAATATAATACTCATTAATGGAAATATAGCCACAATAAATTAAATGCAAGTTTATAAGGGAGACCACGGGAACGTGGTAAACAATTATAAGCAAGCTCGTAAAGTTAGGATTTATCTAAAAATAGACTACCAAAAAATGTTCTAGTGATAAAAATAAAAATTAACGTGCAGCGAGAAACCTATTCACTATGAACGTTAAAACATACGCGCTAAGTTTAGCATAATTATAAATGAATTGAAAGAGGGTCTTTACATTATTATAAGTGCATTTTTCAGAATAAAACTCAAAATTTTAGGGCTCAAGTTTCCAAATATATGAATTAGTAAGCATTATTTAAACGCTGATTAGAAGATGATAAATACATAATTAAAAATTGGCATTTACGTTTAAACTTTTTATTAATATGGTTTTCACAAATTTAAATTTAAATTATCAAAAATTCAAAACATGCATGCATGAAGGCAGCCTACATTTTTACTGGATGACAACTTTGATGCGAATGAGATTTTTTGCATTTATTTCATCACATAGCAATAATGAACACTACACATGAAGAAAAATTGACAGTACGCACTACATAACTCTATCAATCATTGCACGTGGAGCAAAATCAATTGTACATACTACACATCTAGATGGATCTCACACATGCATCTTATACCTACGTGCACTTCTCACATTGATGCACACTTTCATTTGCACTTATTCTTTTTTTTCTTAAGGAAGGATAATTTTTGCCATCAAGTTAATGCAAACTATTTTCAGTACTAAAACGGGAAATCCATGGGAAAAACTGATATTTTTCATAATGTATTTATGACACATGGGCTGTTAGTTTTGATTTTGAGTTGATTGATCTAAACACAAATCATGTGCAAATTTTCATCAGAATGCTGCTAACCACTGCAATTGAAAGACTAATGGGGCAGCAAGGTGTTCATGGGTCATCTTGGAGGCCCCTTATGTAGTTTTCAAAATCTGATAATCGTTTTTGATTCATTTTTAAGATTGTAACATACATGTAAAATTCCATTGAAATTAAAGCAATTTGAAACTTTGTCCCAGTGTTGATTTTCAGTGAATTCCAAGTGACTACTTCAGTTACTCTATATAATCTCAATATGTACTGAAATTTTCGTTGAATTCGGGGAATACTGCTACAAAATACACTTGAAAAGCAGTTGAGGCATCAAGGGTTTTATAGAGTCATCCTGGGGGCCCCCTCATGCATTTTTAAAAATCTGACAACCAATTTCTATCTCATTGTAAGAGCGTAACAAACATGCAAAATTTCATCAAAATCGAAGCAATTTGAATGTTTTTGGGTCCCTTTGGGGCACCCTGGGTGTCCCAGTGTCGAAAGAAACGAAAATCAATATAGCGTATAATAAGCATGACAGTAAGAGTTGCATACACTTATCAAGTTTCATTAAAATCAGCCTTAGGGTTTAGACTTCAAGTCTGAAAGTTTAAAAACAACCAAACTAATGGAAATTCCCATTTAAACATATTTATCGATTATTGGTTATTGATTTTTGAAAAATGACTAATTTTTTTTTTGCCCAGACACACCCAGTATCGAGTACAATCTATGTTCCAAACTTTGTGGAAATATGCCTTATGGTTCTCAAGTAGTTCGCAAACACACACACAGTCAGTTATATATATATATATATATATATATATATATAGATGTAAAGTGAATGATTTATGCCAATGCAAGTATATTTCAGAACTCTTACAAAAGTATTAAATGATTGCTTAAGAGTTCATCCTTACATTGTATCACCAATACAGTAATTGAACCATTAACAAAGGTGTAAGAAATAACCTGCTGCTAAAATATTCACTCCCGAAAACTTTAATTAAGTCAATGTACTAAACTTTCAGTCAGTTTAACATTGCGATATTAAGTGAATGCTTTGTGTTATGTTTCTTGATCACTTGTAGGTAAGGGTAAACCTTCAGCCATATCACTAGATTACAGTCAGGAAAAACAATATCGCATTATGGCATAAATATCTAACAAATGTTTTAATATATACCCAAAATTTTAACAACATTAGTTTATTACCAATTACTGAAACACTGACTTGTGTAAATAAAGCTTGATACATAGAAAATAGATCCATTTTACATCTTTTTTAATATGTGAAATTTCTCCCCAAGTACTTCAAAACTAAATAATTTAACGCATACACAATGTAATGAATAATGTTCTGCAATGCTCTATGTACCTTAGGAATACTTCCAACAATTAGGCTTTTCCATTTTAATGTGTCATGAAAAATCTTTTTAATTTTAGGGAGATGTTATGTGCCTTTATACCGAGATGAAAACAACATAGTTTCCCCAACTGTGGGGACACCACGTAGCCCTCTATTTGCTTCAGAAGTCTTTACACCTTTTGGTGTTTCTCAAACACCACCATTTTCTCCGGAAGCACAAATTTCCTCGCCAAAAAGCCCATGTGATCCTCAAGCAGTTGTGAAAGCTTTTGCTGGTCCTATGTCACCTTCACAGGTAATGTTGTTTTCTTTTTTTTTAATAGAAATTTATTCAATTTGAATTGAAAAGAATAGAAGCTGATTGATTAGTTTATAACTATCCAGAAATGAAAGTAACTCCTTTTCTTTGTTTCCTTTTTTTCTTTTCTTTGTTTCCTTTTTTTTCTTTTCTTTGTTTCCTTTTTTTTGTTTCCTTTGTTTCCTTTTCTTTGTTTCCTTTTTTTTTTTCTTTGTTTCCTTTTTTTTTTTCTTTGTTTCCTTTTTTTCTTTTCTTTGTTTCCTTTTTTTTTTTTTGTTTGTTTTTTTTTCTTTTCTTTTGTTTCCTTTTTTTTCTTTTCTTTGTTTCCTTTTTTTTCTTTTCTTTGTTTCCTTTTTTTTCTTTTCTTTGTTTCCTTTTTTTTCTTTTCTTTGTTTCCTTTTTTTTCTTTTCTTTGTTTCCTTTTTTTTCTTTTCTTTGTTTCCTTTTTTTTCTTTTCTTTTCCTTTTTTTCTTTTCTTTTCTTTTTTTTTTTCTTTTCTTTGTTTCCTTTTTTTTCTTTTCTTTGTTTCCTTTTTTTTCTTTTCTTTGTTTCCTTTTTTTTCTTTTCTTTTCTTTTTTTTTTAACTTAATCAGTATTTAACTAATAATTTAACATTTATTCATATCGGGTCTAAAAAAATTTTATTCTAAAAATAATATAAATAAGCATGAAAAATAAAATCCACCACACTTAACTTTCTTTTTTGTTAACCAAACATTGTACTATCACCCTATTTGGTGATATATTTTTTTATAAGTATATCTTAGATGTGGCACAAGACCGGAAGTATGGGGGCACCCAGTGAGTATCTAACTCACTACTCAGCTGTAATTGTGCTAGCATGACCCGTTCTAAATTATTGCATCAGTTCTGTAGAGTCTTCATGAAAGAAAAAAAATATTGTTCTTTATTTTTAATTAGGAACACAATAATAAAATTAAAGAAAAAAAAATGATTCATATAAAATTACCTGGTAATTTGTAAACACTATCTTTCATAGTATTAATAATTAATAGTACAGAAGAAGTATTATAAGAGAAAAAGTAGCCAAAACGAGGGTTTGTCTATGAGATGCAATTGATTTAAAATCATTACACTTTTATTTTCCATATGTAAAAATGGAAGTTATGAGAATTGCATCATATATACAGTGTTCTTTTTGAGCTGAAAGTACATATTCTTAAAATCTATCCACATAAATTGTTGATAGTCAAGCTTGAAAGCACCTTTTTTAATATGGTACATTTACTGAACTGACTTGAAATGGAAATATTTTTGCTGAATAAAACTTTTAATTCCATGGATAAGATTAAAAATACTTAAGTTTTTTGGAGAGTACAATTGCAATAGATTATAGCTGTTCATTAAGTTTGACTCCTTGCTGTAACTTTGGATATAAATTGCTCCTTAATAACTCTTGATAAAAATATTGATTGAAGCATGATGGAAAACTTTGACCTTTTTTTTTCTCTTTCTTTTCTTTCTCTGCTTTCTCTCCCCCCCCCATTGGTATTTTGCACACTTTTCATGAAAAACATTTTTTCTTTCTGAATTGCAGGCTGATCAATTCAGAAAACTCTGGCGATCACCATGTTCCAGGAATGAGCAAAACAATGTGTTCAGAGAAGATCATGAAAAAGGATACGAACGTGTTGGCAGGTAAAATTGGAAAGCTCTGGAATTTTTATTTAGTAGCATAAAGTTTGCGTGGTTAATTACAAAAAAAAAACAAAAAAAGCACATTGTCAACACTTGATGGAACAACATATTATTTTTCCTCTATTTTCTGCCATCTTTCTTATAACTTCATAATTCCATTCCCAAAACTTTATCTTTCTCATCAAAGAACTGGTTGAAGGTTTTTTTTGTTTTTTGTTGTTTTTGGGTTTTTTTTTTTTGGTTTTTTTTTGGTTTTTTTTTTTTTTTTTTTTTTTCAGTCTTTCAGGAAACTGAATTTTTGACAAACTTGGACCCTTCATGCCCATAAAAAAGTAGTGTTAAAAGAATGTTTTTTTTTTTTTTTTTTTTTTTTTCCATTGACCTCTGTTATTTTTTAACTACCTTCTCTCCCCTGCAATGTTTAAAAAAAAAATCATGATTATAGTTGTAAAACCTAAACACATGATGAAAGTGAATTTATATATTTTTTGTTCTTAAGGATTTACAACAAAAATATTAAACACTATTTACAACATTCTAAAAACCAATATGATTAAAACTAATGCAATGGAATATTTATCATTTACCAATTTATAAAAAAAATAGATATGAAAACAATATTTTATTCATAGATTTATAAAAATTTGCTAAATTATTGAAATGTGTGAACCAGCTCTAAGGAAATCCTTATTTACCATTTTATAAAGGTTAGATCAATTGGCAATTAGCTGATGTTTTGCCAACCATTCCAATAAACACTTTTTGACATTCCATCTTTCTGTGAAAATGTAGGTTCAAGTGGTAATCCAAAGAAACAATATCTGGTGAATATGACAGAGTGGAAAATTTCCAGTTCATCTGTAATGATTTTTATCTGATCATGAAAGAAACCTGCAATTTTACATTGTTCACATGAAATATTATGCCCATTCTCCATCCTTTATTGATGCTGCTTTCAATTGGAAGCAGTATTTGTTCAAATCAATCATTTCTCTAGAAGGATCTCCTAGTAGACTCCTTTCCAATTTCACCTTATAAACAGTATAAAGTTCTTTGAAGGCCGACATTTGGGATGATTAATGGTGATTCATTTTACTTATCTTATGATCTTGTGCATTCCAGGTTGTAAAATATCTTTCTGTTGCTTGTTACACATTTGTTGGCTATCACAGACCTTAAAATTTGACTATTATCAAGATTTAATTACTATTAACCTCAACCATGGTATGTCATTCATAGAGAATTTTTCAGTGCTTTTCTTTTTTGTGTACTTTTCTTTAACCCCCACCCATACACATACTTAAGTATGGTCTTACTTTCGCATATTATATAATTCTAACTTTTTTTTTTTTTTTTTTTTTATACAGAACCCTAGCTTTGCAGAACAATGTACCATGGTCAGAATATTGGAGGTTTTTAGATAAATTTACCGATCTCTCCAAACCAGAGGGCATCCAACTGTTGGAATCTTATCTCCAAAAGCAAAATTTTGCCCTGAATGTACAGAGTAGTTTAGAAGCTATACAACAATCGGCAAACAATTTACACAATCCTGAACTATCAACTTCAGCCAGCAGGCTCCAGTCTATGAAGAAAACCTTTAGTGATATTTGTGACATTGAAAACAGACCAGAGGATATTGATATAAGTTTTGGAGAGCCTTTAATTGGTATTTCACCTATGACACCAAAGACATTAACACAATCTCCAAAGCCTAGCTCAAGCCAAATGGAAGAAATGGATGTTAGCCCCCCATTTGAAAATGGTACAACAATGCCACACAGTCAGCATGATAGCCCTGAACAAAAAGAACTGTCCTTCCGGGAGGAAAATTTGGAAGAAATTATAGATACTTTGTCCAAAGATTTTGGTACAAAACTTATTATAAACACTAAAAGTCCACCTGATGATAGCCCCATAGAGGATGCAGATTTAAAAATTAGTGAGAAGGTGAATACAAACATGAACTGCTTGTTTTCTATGAAAGATGAATTTATTGATATGTTAAATGCTGTCCAGAACCAAGAGCCTTTATCTGTGTCTTTTATGACTCAAGCAAGCTGTGATAAACCAACCTACCCATGTCTTTCCCCTGCATTACATGCACCTGCTTCTCCACAAAGTTCAACTACTGCAGGACCAGTGTTGTTGAATATCAAATCGCCAAAGAAATTGATTGCACAAATAAATGGCATGCCAGCAAAGAGTCCACCAGAATTAAGAAAGCCATTAAAAGTCTATATCCAAGGGTAAGCAAAGGGCTTCTTTTTTTTTTCTTTATTATCTTTGTCTTTCTTTATCTGTTATTTGTTACCTTTTAACACTTGACTATTTTAGTGGCAATTTTTCACTAGTTTAAACATATTTGAAAACATTTTTATACCAAACAAGCACTGATTGTATTTTAGCACAATGTGTAAGTACATATTGTATTTTAGCCTTTTCTGTGAATATTATCAATGAAATGATAAAAACTAATGTGCACGTGTATATACACACACACACACACACACACACACACACTATATATATATATATATATATATATATATATATATATATATATATATATATACATGTGCACACCTTCATGATACCTAAGGTTTAAAAAGAATTTTTATAAATGAAAACTCTTTCTTGAAGCTTTTTTTAGTTTTAATTTCAAGTTAATAGATTAAATTTAGTATTTCCAATAAGCAAAATACTTTGCTTTATTTCAAAACTAAATTAAATTGACTGGAAGGAGGTTCACCCCCCCACACACACACACACACTGTTTATTGCAATGTAATTCTCTTTATTAAAAAACCTTCTAAAAATAGAATATACTTTTCTGAAACTTTATTTGAAGAATATTAGCTGATTTAAGTATAATTAATCTGATTTGAAATATTTACTTCAAATTTGAAGTATTGCAGAATTTTTTTTTTTTTTACCCAACTGCAGCTGTTCATTTAAGCTGTTGACATATTTGACAGCTTGATGACAGATCTAATGTTGTTCTACAGGGACTTTATCTGTAAAGCATAATTGAAGAAAATAATGTGAACACCTTTTTATGCATAACTTTTAAATACTCGGTAATCTTAAAAATTTAGAAAATATTCTACATAATCTAATGTATTATTGGATTGTAAATACTTTGGTTTTAAATTTACTATAGTTTTAGCCTTCTTCTCAGCCAGTCCGTCTGATGTCTGATCCCTGCAGCTGATTGATGAGTTGACTGCTTCAATCCAAACCTTGCTTTATCCCACATCATGTTTGATTTTGACCATAAGGCTGTCAAAAATCGAATCGTCAACAGGAATTATTGTATTGGTTTTGTCGATAGTGAAGTCACAAGTAAAAAAAAAAAAATATCTTTATATATACTAACTTTGTACAGGAGTTGGTTAATTCTTGATATAAAAAAATTATTAGTTCTTCATGCAGAAAAATATCAACGCTTCCAAAGTTAAACGTGACACATTGGTTAGTTTAGCCAAGTCTGAACAAGGCTTATATTGGAGGTTTTTTCCAGGCAGGAAGTCATGTGAATTAAGCGGTCATCTCTCATCCAGCATCTGGAACAACTCTCTCTCAGCTGTTTAGATCTTCTGTTTATATGGACCTTTGCCTGAAACTGGCATGGCCTGGGGTTCTGGTGATTCCCCTAATTGCTAACAAAAGCCCATTGTTGCCTGGCTCTGGAAAATTAATTACATGCCCAATTTTGGAGAGATTCCCTCTTTCATGAGGAGTGGTCGCAGGATATTTTCTCATTTTGGTACCTCTCGCTAACACTTCCCAATGGGCATGGGCAATTCCTCTGCCTTCCTTGATATTTCACCTGCACCTGCCACCAAGGCTACCCTTTGACCAATCTGGCTCTCGACTGCTTTGCGTGGCTTAACTTATGGTCAATAATTAAAATTATCATTTGGATTTTCACATAAGCAAAATTTTCTTGGCCTGATTTTGCTTAAAAATCAAGTTTACCAGGTGGTTCCTCCAGCCTGCCATTCCCCCAAACCTACCAGGGTCATTGCACTTCAAGCACCCTAGGTTACACAAAGAAAGCCTATTCCTCTGATCAAATCTTATCTGTCTGTCTTGTATTACTAATTAAAAAAAAAAAAATTTCAAAATTCTTAAAATATTGGTGTTTTATTATATATACTAAGCTTTTCCATTTTACTTAATATCTAAAAGGGTAAAATTAATACAGAATTTTAAGATTTAAAACTTAATAAATTATTCTAATTAAATATTTTGAAAAATGAAAACAATTGTAAAAAAAAAAAAAAAAAAAAATTATTCATTAAAAAATTTTTTTTTTCTTGAGGACAGTAGTGTCCTTAATATATCTTGTTTATAAAAGCAATTATTAAATGTTTTTTAATTAAATAATGTCAGTTTCATTTCATTTTTTACTTTACAATTCAGAGCAGAATTTTTGTAAATGGTGTTTCTGCTTGACAAAAACAAATTGATGATTTAAATTATCTAAGGCATCCTGATTTTAATGAATGAATACAAATATGAACAGGGTGAAATTTTAATTTCTTAATTTCATAAAACTAAGTGATGGTAACAGATGTAAAAATAAAAAAAAGAAATAAAAATAATTTTTGCAAGATTTTCCAAAACAATGTATTTTTAACACCAAAAAAAGATGCTAAAATTCCCAATACTAATCTTTGGCCCACCTGCTGATGCAAGAAAATTAGGACATGCTTATGGTTTATCAAGATTGATACAAAAAAAATACTGAACTGTTTGAGGACACTGTTATAGCAGCATTTAAAAGTGAAATAGAAATTAAAAATATATCATGCGATGTAGTATGTGAACTACCAGTTACTTTGGAAAAAATAAAAACAGAACAAGACACGTTTATCTTGAAAATACAAAACAAAAAGAAAGATAGACTATTTTTAGAACACAATCCATACTTGAATATGTGACAGAATACTGATGTTTGCACAAAGAGTATTAATAACTACCATGTTACAAAGATGAATATTAAATGAATTTCATAGTGGACATCCAGGAATTTCAAGGATGAAATCTCTTATGAGAAGATGTGTATACTGAACCAAAATGGATCAAGACATTAAAAAATTAGTAAAAGCCTACAGAGGTTGTGCTCTGGCAGCAAATTCCACCTACCACAAAATTACAACCTTGGTCATAGATGGATACTCCATGGTCAAGACTGCATATAGATTTTGCAGGTCCACTAAATGGATCACATTATCTTGTATAGTGTGGCCTGAAATTTGTAAGTGCAAAAAAAACAATTTCCACAGTTACAGTGAATTTTTTTTTTTTTTTTTTTTTTTTTACAAACTGTAAGATATGGCATTCCAGATACCATAGTCTCTGATAACAATATACAATTCACTGCTTACAAATTTAAAGAATTTTGTAAAATGTTCTCTATTGAACATATTACACAAGGTCAAACAGACAAGCTGAACAGTTTGTTGGTACTTTAAGAGAAGCTTGCTTTTTTTTTTTTTTTTTTTTTTTTTTTTTTTTTTTTAAGCAAGTAATGAAAAGTGAGCAAAGAAGCACAGCAAAAATTCTTGAGAGTATACTGGATGATGCTGAATCCCAATACAGCAACAGGCATGTCATTGGCAGAATTGATGGTCACAAGAAAAACTAAATCCATGTTCGACAAGTTGTTACCAGGTCAAAAAAGAATAACAATGGATATCAAAAAGGACACAATTTTTAAAAATTGGTGAAAGGGTGTTTTTCAGGGCATATAAAAATTGAAAAGAAATCGGGTAAGACTGCGTAATAAGGTCATGAATTGGAAAAATGATATATATGGTGAAAGTAAAAAATGGGGACACAAAAAGCATTGGAATCAGTTAAAAGAAAAGGTTTACTGAAGAAAGGCCCGCAAGAAAGGAAAAATCTATGCAAGTAATGTGATGTACCAACACCCCAAGAATTCATTGAACATACAATTATGATTTCCAGAAAAAGGAAACATGGTAAAACTAGAGATTGACCCAAAATGAAAGAAATACAAAGTTCAGTACATGGCAAACTCTCCAGAAATAGGAGGGGGTAAATAAGAAATAAAATAAAATGTTTATTAGGAGCGGGGATCTCAAAAGTGGGGGATGTTGTGGAGTAAATACAAAACCTCTAGTAACACAAATGAACTAGGCAAGACGCTTTGAATAAATTACTCAGAGTGAGTCAAAAGAAGTCCATTGTAGTCACTTGAGAATTTCTAATGATGTCACCTAAGCGAGACATGGTAACCATTAGGTACAGGTTATAACAGTCGTCTTGTTTCTCATCGTTAAATTAATATAAATATGTATACTAAAGGTGTAAATGCCAATTGCAATAAGGGTCAGAGAAGAATGTAATTATTTCACCTGAGAATATAATTCTCAAAAATGAGAAACAAATCAAGATCAACATTTTTTTCTAAAAGATTTATTTACCTTTTGACCAAATTTTTTTTTTTTTTTTTTTTTTTTTTTTAAATCATAACCAAATATGTAACAATTTTATTAAATTTTAACTTTTCAAAATTATTCTAAAGTTTATGAATTTTCTTTTTCCTTAGGTCTGTTCCCACAAAGTTGGATATAGATGTTATGCACTGTCTAAAAAATGTTACAGTGGATTCTGAGCAATTTCCTTATACTGCAAAATGGCTGAAACTTGTTAATTCATTCTCAGAAATAGAAAAGAAGAGGTAAGTTTATTTTTAATTTACTGCAATAGATTTTTTTTTTTTTTACTCTTAGTGATATTTTTTATATCATACGAACTCAAATCTGATGCTTACATGCTGAGCCAATTGCATCTTATCACTAGCCTGGCCATTGTCCTTGAATATATTGGCATCACTGTTATATCACCAACCCACAATTCCAGATGGTTATTTTTTATTTCTGCTCTCCAAAAATCCTTGGGATCAGATGATTTGACAAATAAACTCATCATTATAGCCCCTTCCAAAGCAATTAATTTTATCAGCTTTCTCCAAGAGGTATCCATTTTTTGTCTGTAGTCATATTGGGAAACCAACAACATCCAGCCAAAAGATTTGGCTTTCTTCTTAACCATAATGTACTTTTCTCAGATTTGTGGTTTTCCCAAACTTCAGTATGAATTTACCTTGAGTGAAACATCTGGTCCATATTATCAGTACAGACTTCATCCACTTGGATAGAGGAATAATTTTTTTTTTCTTAGATTATAATAGTCAACCCTGGGTTATTTCTAGGTTTGAATTTCAAGTATTTTTCCAGGGTTTTTATACTCTTTGCAGCTTTCAGCACTTTTTTTGATATGGAAGATTTTTCAATTCTGCCCAAATGAAAGATCTTGTGTAGGTGATTATCAATTATAACAAATTCATAAAGGAAGAGTTTAGATCTGTAAAGAAAAAGTTAATAAGATTAAACTGACAGCATAAAAAATCGGTAGACAAGGCTGAATTTATCAGATGCAATAATTTTATTGATTATTTGACCAGACATTTTCTATGAGTTTTTAGATCATCTCCAGGATTATGACCAATAATTAACCACCTTGACAAGAGAATATTATATATATAGTCATGCAAACGTTTACAACACATTACAAAAAAATGTTTCTTTAGGTATTTCTAACACAGATTAATGAAACTTTTACTGCTAATAATACATGTGTTTTAAGCCTTTAGTCAAATAATCAAATTTAAAAATAAAAAAAAAAAATAGTCAATAAAAATATCCCATGAAGAAAAACCAATATTTAATAACACAAAAGTTTACAATACATTTATTAAATCATCTATTAATATTTCGTAGTGTAACCGTTATTGCTAATTACAGCATTTAGGCATTTGCCTACGAATTTCTTGCATTTTTCTTGGCTATTTTTCACAACAAAATTCCTTTAGTTCATGGAGATTTTGTGGGTTCCTCCTTTGAATTCTCAGTTTCAGCTCTCTCCATAAATTTTCAATCGGATTGACATCTGGAGATTGACTTGGCCATTTTGAAACATCTATTCTATTTGAACCTTACTAACTTTTGTAAGCTTTGCAGTATGTTTAGGATCATTGTCTTGTTGAAAGACCCATCCTGGTTTCAAGACCAGCGAATGTGCACTCTGACGTAAATTTTTCTCCAAAATATCCCTATAATATGCTCTATTTATCCTTCCTTCTATTATTTCAATGTTTCGTACACCTTGGGCACTAAAGCAACACCAAATTTTACTGTTGGGATAGTATTCTTTGGCGAATATTCAGTACACTTCTTTCTCCATACCTTTGCCATAGTATTTCTACCAAAAAGTTCAATTTTCATTTCATTTGACCAAATTACATTTTCCCAAAATGCTGCAGGTTTAATACAATGCTCATTTGCAAAATCTAACCTAGCAAGAACATGTTTTCCCGTAAGTGTGGTTTTTTTTTTTTTCCCCCCCTTCTTGGAGTCATCAAAAAGTGTCATATCGATAAAGTTACAGACTAATTGTATCTGTACTCACTTTGCTCCATTTACTTCTAGTCCTCCCTGAAGAGTTATTTAAGCATAACTCTGGTTTGTTGCCAACTTTTCTTGCCAATAATCTTGCCATATGTTATGTTACCTTTCTAGGGCGACCAGAGCTTTTTTTTTTTCTACAAATGGAATGACACATCTTTCAGTGACAAACTATCGTACCGACTGAACTAAATGCTACATTTAACTGTCTAGATATCTTCCTATAACCAAGTCCACTTTTATGAAGGTCAACAATATGTTTATGGAGGTCTTAATCAATTATTTTGCTTTTCCCCATTTTGTCAATGTTTAAATGACAGTTGACAGAAGAAGAATGACGCAATACTTTTAATCTTTCCTAAAAATAATCATAAAGTTAATGTGGAACATTCTAAAAAACCACCTCATACTAATTTGGAACATTCTATTAAAATTTGAACACTTTTATTAAAAAAAAAAAAAAAAGCTGTTGTAAATAAATAAAAAAAAAATTTTAAAAAAAAAGTGTTGCAAACTTTTGAGTTACTAAATATTCTTTTTTTCTTTGTGGGATTTTCAAAAAATCTGATTGACTGAATACCTAAAGTATATATTCTACAAGCAGTAAAAGTTTAATTAATGTAACTATTAGAAATACCTTAAAAAAAAAAAAAAATTGTAATGTTATAAACATTTGCATGGCACTGTATATATTTTAGGTACCTCCACTAATTCCTGATACCCAAGGTTTAAAATGAATTTTAAAAATTAAAAAAAAAAACTTTTTTGAAGCTTTTATCATAGCTTTAATTTACTATTTCCAGTAAGCAAAACATCTTCAAACAGAAATTATATTGATTGGAATTGATTCTTTTTTTTTTTTTTTTTTTTTGCTGCTATAATTTTTTTCATTAAAAAATTTCAGAAAATATACTTTTCTGAAACTTTAAGGAATATTATCTTATTTAAAGTATAATTAATCTGATTTGAAGCAAATATTTTACTTTAACTTGAAAATAACAAAAATGGATTTTTAGGACAAACAGTAGTGATTATATACTTGTCATTGTGTGTAAATCAATTAACAAGTACTGTTAAATGTGTTGGCAGGTTTATTGTTGTTCTTTGGAAACTTTATCTGTTAAAATATAATTTAAGAAAATGACTGGTGAACGCTTTTTCCTATAATTTTTAAGTACTTAGCAATCTTAAAAATGTTGGAAAATGTTCTCCATAATCTAATTTTAGGAATGTTGGCTTTAAATTTGCTATAGTTGTCAATCTTATTTTCTGATAATGCTGACCCCCACTCACCCCAATAAAATGAATTGATCCACTATCATTACATTTCAGTATAAATATCAATATTTAAATTATGCAGCAGTCAGTTTTCACTTGGCATCTGACGATTGCCCTGTGCATAAAACTTAGTTGTGTTACCAGTAAGGAAAAATATATATTTTCTACCTCATTGCTTAACCAGAACTTTTCTTTTTTAAAGTACCTATTATTAGATCACACTGTATTGCTTAGATCATAACTTACAACCATTTATCTGCATAAAATTTTATCAAAAATTCTGTTTTACAAAAAGAAAAACTTACAAACTAGATTGAATTGACAATAAAAAGTTGAGGTTTATTCTAAATATTGATTAATGGTTTTACTGATCATTTTGTTTGCCATTTTTAAATTAATTTTTGTTTTTTGTTTCCTTAGTTGGACAAGTCCTGCCAAGGCCCATGAGAAGAAAGTAAAGACTAATGATGGCACTGGCACACCAGTTATGAAATCTCGTACAGCCAGCCGACTTGAGCCAATGGCTCTTTTTAACTCACCTAGCACTGACACATAGAATTTCACATTTTAAATTTTATGCAAATTAGCGTCATTAATAATAAAAATATATTTTTGAATCTCTTAACCATAATTTTTGTCTTGGTGTTTTTTTTTTGTTTTTTTTTTGGGAAGACATGGAGCTTTCTGAAAGGCAACATTTGGATATTTTTTTTTTTTTTTTTTTTTTTTTTTTTTAAATTTAATGGGGACCTTTTTAACCCATGGTTCATGGATGAAAAGGCCAATATCACACTCTATTAGAATATGCAATTTAATCTTTAAAGTAAAAAAAAAAAGTTTACAACAAATATTGGTTTTCTTAAGTCAACTGTACATTTACAACAATCACAATATTTGAAGTAAAAATATTTGCAACTTGTTTCAATATTGAAATAATAAATTGTAACAAAATTCTGAGGTTTTTGTAATTCAATGAAAATTGTTCATTGAAGACATTCCTTATAATCATAATAGCTCAGGAAAGACCAATCAGTCTGCTTAAATAGAAATATAATTTATTGAATCATTGAAAAGAAAGACTTTGGATACAACTGGGAATAGAAACAATGAATCTATAACAAGTAAAAACACTGACAAATACCATGAATGCAAAATGTTTTCAAATCTTTGTTAAACTTTAAAATTCTACTAAACAAACTGGTTGATATTTAGTTGAATGTTTGAAATGTAGGTTTCTAGCATCTTTTATTTATTAAGCTGGTCTTAATTTGGTACAAGGTAATACTGAAGATCAAACTTACTACTCTGAAAGTAACAGTCAACCAAGATGGCTTGCTGAAGCATCTTTCTCTGCACAAATTATATTGAACAAATCCAAGTCACTTAAATTTTACTAAATATAAATGTACCTGATTATTTTCTATATTATTTTTTTTATAAACATTAAATCTCATTATCACTAATGCCAGTTCTTAAAAAAAAAAAAAAAAAGTATGCATAACCAATATACAAATTCTTACATGCAGTGATTACAACTCAAAACAGACTTTTGCTTGATGTTTGTTCTAACACCACAACAAAGTCTTATAGATTAACCTGCCACTTAGCAAAAGTGCAATTACATCTTAAACATTATTCCTACCAATATAAGTTCCATAACTGTTGATAAAACTTACATCTTTAATTGTACATGTAGATTCCATATACTAAAAGTATTTGGTCTAGGAAGAAATGAGGTTTTGAATATTTGCATTAATTAAACATTCTAGCAGAATTTTTCAAAATCAGGGTTTTAGCGCTTAAAGATACAACACTAATCAGTCGCTTTTTTTTTGCTTTTTTTGATTCTCCATGATGTACTAAGTTTGACAATATCTCTGTCTATGGACAATGTCTATCTGCTGCATCATCTTTAATCCAAACATTTGTTCCTTTTGTTTGTATTCAGTAATAAGAAATACAAGAAATTGCTGACCAAAATGTACCGTCAAAAGGATGCTTGAAAACCAGAATTTTTTTTTAAGACTGTTAAATAGAAAGTTCCAAATTGGGTTTCTAACACCACGCATGTTATGCTTTAGAGTTGGTAGGTTCATTTATGAGTTAATGAAGAGGAATATATTTATCCATTTGATATTTTATATACTATTTAAAAAGTCATTGATGCTCTTTGAAAATAAACAGCTACAATAATAGTAAATCTAGTAATAAAATAATAATAATGCTTCATGAAATAAATAAAACTACTTCTTCAAAAATATTTTCTTTTATATTGATGCACAGTTAATATAAATTCAGTATTCCATTAAAAAAAAATCTGGGAAGTTGAACCACAACTTCTCTTGGTTTTGAATAATGAAGACACAAAAACAACAGTATAAGCACATCTCTGAGGAGGAAGGATTTGTATATCTATATCCTCAGTGACTGAAGAAAACTCTTCGGGTGTTACTTCCTTGCTTATATAACTATTTCTTATCAGTTTAACTTTGATTTTGACAACCAGTAACACACATCTGTTAAATCAGGCTCTTGACCAACTCTTGAAACCAGATGGCTTCTCTTATTACCACATAAGTCAGTTTGGTAAGAATGCATTTTGGTGGTGGACGTAGTATTTAAGCAAACATTCAATATTGCTGCATTCCATTTTCCCCAGACCTGTAAATTTTGTCAGCACTATATTCCCAAAAGGATCTTTTCTGTTAATTCATTCCAAAATAAAAAGAATTTACATTTACTAAAATTCACACCAAATTCTTCCAGAGCTAAGCCATTCCATTGCACTCCGGTTGAGTTGACTTTTGCGATCACCTCAGATATGAGTGACTCCTGTGTGCTATTTAAAGTGGGGTCTACATTTGTGTGCTCATCCTGATAAGGTAAAAACAGATTATATATATATATATATATATATATATATATGCAAATTTTTTTTATTTTATTTATATAAGTACCTCGAATATCATTGTACTTAAGAATTGATTTTTGGTAATTTTAAAATTTGAAGGTTGGAGGCAAGCTAAACAAAATGATTTATAATTTCAAAAGAGCACCAAAAATTTAATAAAATTAAAAAAAACAAAAAAAACCTTTGATTTAAAATTTATAATCTTGGGGTGAATTAACAGAAAACACACACACAAAACAATTCTCAGGTACAGAACTTTAATTTTTTGGTTCAGTTTCTCTGAACCATTTTTTTCAGACTATATTTTAGTTTTAAAACTAACTTTTTAATTCACTTTTTTTACAATTCATTTTCTCATATAAGAACAGTCTTGGAAGTTGCAAAACAATTGTTGTTGGATCAACTGAATTATATATATATCATTGGTTTTAAGAATATAACCAAAAGAGTTTTAAGAAAAAATTTAAAATAATGAGCAAGAAAAGTTGATTGTATAAAAATTTATATAATAAAAAAATAAATGTAAACTAGAAATAATTAAAGGGCAAAGAATAAAATGTTAATACAATAAACTAGGTTTCTTATGTTTCCTCCTTTAGAAGGGAGTGTTTAAAAAAAAATAATATTAAAAGAAAGTTACTAATATGTGTTCTTTAAATAAAGAATAAAAAAATGAAACCAGATGGTTAGTAAAAATAAAAAAAAAAAAATAGCTTGAATAAAATTTGATTGATGCATAGAACTTCTTATATGCAAAAAGAACAGCCAAAATAAAAGGGTTTCCATTAAAAAAGCTCAAATGTGATGGTCAAAAACCCACTTAAGTAAAGTTTGCAAATGGATTTAAAAAGATGCATTTTCATTTTCTTATTTTTTATTTTTAACCAATGGGGTTGAGGTGGGGAGTTTATTACCTCTGAGTATCCAATTTTTTTAGTCAAAATGGAGCCAGTAAGTGACTATTTAAGAAATTTCATTTTTTTGACAGGCGAGGGATTTGGCTTTCATGGATGAAGGACATTGGCAGTTGAATCTAGAAGCAGAAGTGTTTTAGCTTTCACCAGTGGTGGTGGGAGTGACACCAAAAAAGAAGTAACAAGAAAATTTTACAAATTTAAAGATATATGATTATATTTTTATAGCTGTTTGTGAAAGCTTGACACAAAATTAGATACTAACCCTTATTTTGTAACTTTTTATGAAAATACAATATTTCTCATTTTTGAACCTCAGTTTATAAAACTGAACTATAGTTGCTGAGAAACTTAGCAAAGCTTGTGAATCATCAACCTTCTCAACTTCTTTTAACAGTCGAATGAATCTAAGTAAGTAAATATTTTGCTGCTAATTATAATTTTTCTTTGAGTCCAGCAACTGTAATTAGAACTTGTTATCTTACCTAATTGTGTGGCACACACAATTTTGTGCAAGCTTGTTTTGTAAATTTTATATTCTGTGCTATTATTTTTTTTCTTTTATTAAATGTAAATTTCTTTCAAATTTCATAGCCAAGTGTCTCATGTTTGTGCCATTCATAATTCTCTGCATAAGAGATTTGATGTTCTCTTTTACTCCTCTATTCCGAAAATATCCTTTTAATTGATCAGCAAAAAATATTGGAATAAGCTTGTGTTGTAGATATAAACAGAAAAGAGAAAATATTAAGAATATTGCTTATTAAAGACCCAAAAGCAACCAAACTATTACCTTTTAAGTAAGTATCACAAAGAGATATGTAAATTGGGTAAAGAAGTACATGAATGAAACCTGATTTCTCAACATTAATTTTTTTGTGATGAATATAGAAATAATGACTGGGATAGAGGTTGGTTTCTTCATAGGATAGTGGAGCAATGTTTTAGGCTAGAATTATAGACAGTAAAATTAAAGGTCCTTTTACAATTGATCGTTCAAGTTAAATGCAAAAATTATTTTTTGGATAAGAGGCTTTTCTCTTCTACAAAGTTGACTATTGCCCACCTTGTCAGTGAAGGGTTCAAAGACAACAAATTAACAGAATGGCCCTGAGCCTTCCCAGAAGTTAATCAAATAAAAACTTTAGATCCCTCATTAAGCAAATAAAATCTCTGGGAAGCAATAAAAACAGATGTAAATTGAAACAGTAGAACAGTTAACATCAATAGGAGAAAACTGATAATGATTATAGAATGTTAAAGAGCTCATATTAATATGTAAAATGACAATTTATTCAAGTATTTGGGGTATTGTGTTCATCAAATATATCTGTGTTAGTGTATTTCATTTGGATTTATTTATAAATAAAAATTTATATTGCACTTTGCATAATAAAACCTACCTCTTGCTCGAAACAGGTTATCAATATTTTTAATGGGGAAAATCACATAATATATACTTAAATTTTACCAATATCGATTGGTATATAATTTTTTTTTTTTTTGTGCAAACTTGTATAATCATACTTAGTGGATATTGATTATTTCCCTTGTGCCTCGACGTTCTAACGCAATTACCTCCCATTGATGCGTTACCACCATAAATGCTAAAAATAAAATATGACTTCAAAGTACCCATCATCATTTGGGAGTGAAACTAACTTTATCAACTAAACATATTTGTTACTTTTAAAATAATCTGAAATGTTTTCCTTTCTTGAAATTCATGGAGTTTTCTTTTTGTGGACATTACTTCTGTTATGTTGTTTAAATGTGAATAGTTATCCTGAACATCAACATGACAACAAAGCAAAAGGTTCGAGTACGATCCTTGTGTTTGGTGGAAATGGTTTTATTGGTGCAGCAACAGTAACTCGTCTTTTAGATGCAGGACATTCTGTTACACTTGTCAATAGGGGAAACTGGTATTGGGATTCAGATATGTTAATAAAACCTTTCGTGCACCACCTCCGGTAATAACGCTGTTCTCAGCATTTTTCAACATTAAGATTAACAATGTCAGAATGCATGCTGAAGGAAGCTAACTAACACATACTAACAACTAACTAACACAGCACGATTTATCTTGACTTTAGTTTGTAAATTTTAACTGCTATTTCGTATACAATAAATTAACAATAATAAAATTACTACAGAAATGTCCTGGTTTTAACTTCTTTTTTGTTTATTATTTGGTAAAAAAAAAAAAATGTTTTTGCTTTTCTTCAACTTTATAACTTGGCTGTGAACCGCAATTCTCAGAAAAAGTAAAATAAAATTCACCAGATTTTAACAAATTTACCGTTATGCCCAAAATATTTTGTTTTTAATTTTTCAAAATTAAGGCTGGGTGGTTTTATATTACTTGCTTTTTTGCTTAATGGGTAGCGGTTCGGATTGAGGAATCGAAGAGCCGAGTTCGAATTCCAGTTGAACATTCACTTTACGTGCCAATATCCTTGGGTAAGGTATCTCTTCTCCTCCCAGCTATAGATAAATAACGGGACAGACCGGAGTTCTATGGCCTTGGATGGCAATTGGTCTACTGCAGAAAGAGAAATAGCAACCTAGTGCGGGAAAAAAAAACTGGCTCGTCTGCCATGTATCAAAACTTCAAAAGATACATGATCGTCTAGCGTTTATCACGTATGGCACATAACTGACGGATATTTGCTATCCAAATTTTTTTTCTTTCTTTCTAAAATATATATATATATTTATTATTATTATTATTATTCAGAAGAATTGAATTAAATTTCCTATTAGCAAAGTTGTTTTTTTTTTATTCTAGCATGATATTAATTTTGTAATTTGTTCTTGTTTAAATAACTGTTCCGTTTTTTGTTTTTTTTTTAAAAAAAAAAATGTCTATCACTTTTTTTTTTTTTTTTTTTTTTTAGACGTGCCCAGTAAACGGTAGTAGTGTTCAATATTTTATTACAAAATGTTGATTTATTTGATATTTCTTTTAAAAGAGCAGGTAACTCGTATTTTCTTGTACTTGCAAGTATTTAAGTAAATTGCAACAGAATTCCGTCTAAAATAACTGATAAAATGAAAAAACAACCTTACAAAATTATTGCAAAATTTTCACTGATTGATATGTTGCATTAGGTTGTCAGTTCTGTCAAGTTATAATAAATGACGAAGAAAAATATCCTATTATAATTGTGCTTGTCCCTCCCTCAGTTTGCACGACCATTATGCTCTGCCAATACCTCATAAACAATGGACTATTCTGTTTTCCTTTCCTGGAAAGTGGAAAAAGATAATACTTGGTTTTGGTGAGAAAGTGAAAGAAGGGAAGATAGACGTTTCCTGCTAATAACCTCATAAATAATGGACTATTCCGTTTTGATTGCATGGAAAAACAAAACATATCAGAGAGGCTACTTGGTTTCAATGAAAAAAATAAGGGAAGATAGAAGTGTTTAACGGCTGTTTCAGTGAAATGGAAAAAGTTGTTAATTTCAAATCATTTCATTTGTACCCATTTCTTAAAATAATGACCAGCATTCATATTTATGTTTTTTATTGCAATATTTTGGTAAAGTTGTTGAGCTCAAATATTTAGATGCGATAGGGTAATTTCTATGGATATTTTTTGTCACAAAATTTGCCATAAGCTTATTCAATCATTAACTGAAGGAAAACTGAAATTTTTGCAGGTCTTTCTAGTATATATAAATTAATAGCAATATTTAATTCTTGTATATACAAAATATAATTGAAAATGATATTGTTTTTACTTTGCATATTCAGTAAATACAATGACAGAATGTGCTTTTTTTAAAAAAAAAAAAAAAAAAAGGACTCTTTTCAGATAAAGGATTTTTAGAAAACCTAGTTGTCTTTATCGAGCATACTTTTACTGAAAGAAAAACAATTTTCAGTTATTAAAGTTTACCTGTATGATTTATTTATATTTATTCTCCATAACCTTATCAGTCAAATGCATTTTTAAATTAACATTCAAAATATGAATTTAGACTTAAAATAAATTTGCCCCCCCCATCTTTGCATATATTAAATACTCTTGAAAATCTTAATCTATTTTTCTTTTTTTTTTTTATAGATGTGATCGAATGCAGTCTCTTTACAGATGTGATGATATGAACCTTCTTTTAACATCAAATCCATCCATATTTTTTGATACTGTTATTGACTTTAGTGCTTACCATCAGGAGGCAGTGTCTGATGTGATGAATATTCTCCAGAACAGGATTGGGTTCTATGTGCTTATCAGTACTGATTCTGTGTATGAAGTCTGTATCAAGAACCACTTCCAACCCACAAGAGAATCAGATGCTGTCCGTCCCACAAATGAAGCACTCCTCAAAGAATACAACCAAAAAGATGATTATGGTAACCGGAAGTTGCAATGTGAAGAAATACTTACATCTCAAAGTGGGAGCAACAAAGTCCCCTATATCATTTACCGCCTACCTGATGTCATTGGACCCCGAGACAATACATATCGGTGGTGGATATACCAGAGTTGGATGCGGCTACGAAAATATCTAGAAAGACCAGTTTCCGTTCCAGATGCTTTTGTTAACAAGCCAATGAGTCTTGTCTATGTGGAAGATGTTGCAGATGTCATTGTTAAGTACATGTTTGGAGGTGAAGGCATCCAGAATGAAGTGTATAATTTGGCACTTACTGAGAATCCCACCCTGATGGATTTTCTTACAGACATTAAAAATGCTCTGAATTTAACCAACCTCAATATTATCATTGAGCCACTCACTTCAAATTCAGTATATCTGTTTCCATCAGTTAAGTTTGGTCCAGTAGACACATCCAAGGCAGTAAAATTATTGAAATGGAATCCTACACCTTGGAATGTTGTTGTGAAAAAAAATATCGATTTTTATGAAAGAGCAATGACTTTGCCAAAATATGAGATAGCAAGGCGGGATATTATCCGAATGATCCAGACTTATCTAACCAGACGTCCTTACCAAGTCTTGACTGGTTTGAAAAATGAATATGAGGTAGAATATCCATTTAAAAAGGATGAGCTCTGAGTTCTGTTTTTCTGAATAATTGCATCAAAATGATGCTACTACTTTTTTATTAATGATGACAATTTTCAATCATGTTTTTATTTTGGGGGCAGGTTTTAAGCCCATCTTGTTACTTTTTTATTGGATTTGTTCTTTTGAGTTACTTTCATGATTGATGCTTTAAAGAAAATGAATTAAAATTGAATGAGTTACAATATTTGATAATGTGATAAGATCATAATTTTAAAAAGCTTTCATTCTTTCTTTTTTTAATTTTTGCCTGATGATAAATTATTACAATATCAATCATTTGTAGAATATGCCAACTTTAGCACAAATCCATTATAACAGTTTTACAAAAAAAAAACATTGAATGGAAAATAAGTGATTAAAAGAAATGAATGAAGCCAAAATCTGAAAAGATTTTCACTGAAGTAAGTGAAACATTTCTGATTTTTTATCATTTATTTTTTTCTCTTATGTAAACAGAAAAATTAATTAAAATATTGAAATATATTTATATAAACAGAAAAATTAATTAAAATACTGAAATATATTTAGATAAACAGAAAAATTAAAATAAATATTGAAATAAATTTATATAATCAGGAAAAATAAATGAAATACTGAAATATATTTAGATAAACAGAAAAATTAATTGAAATACTGAAATATATTTAGATAAACAGAAAAATTAATTAAAATACTGAAATATATTTAGATAAACAGAAAAATTAAAATAAATATTGAAATAAATTTATATAATCAGGAAAAATAAATGAAATATTTTTAATATTTCATTTATTTTTAATGATTTTAATTTTATAATTTCATTATTATAAACAGGAAAAATAAAATGATTTATTTATATAAACAGGAAAAATAAATGACATTGAAATATAAACAAAAAATAAATGTAATATTAAAATATATTTTTTATAAACAAAAATAAATATTGGAATATATATATTTATATAAACAAAAAATAAATATTGGAATATATATATTTATATAAACAAAAAATAAATATTGGAATATATATATTTATATAAACAAAAATAAAATATTGGAATATATATATTTATATAAACAAAAATATTAAATATTGAAATATATATTTATATAAACAATAAATAAATCGAATATTGGGATGGATATATATATATATATATATATATATATAGCCAAAACTGTTCCTCAATACATTTGAGAAACATGCAGAAATTTAAAATGTATCTAGGAACACAAAAACAACTCATAAATAATTGAACTATTGCACTAGTTATACACAGAAATAAATTTGACCACAATTTTGTTCTAAAAAAAAAAAAAATGTCATGCTTATCATAATGGAAAGTAATTTACTCAGAAAGAAAATCTTTTAGAGTGGCACTATCGAATATTATCAAAACATCAATCTATGACCCGGTCTTTTCTCAATCTCAACTTTCCAGAAAGAATTACTACTTTTGCAAGCCAACATGCACAACAATTATGTTGAAAAATCAAAAGAAAAATGTTAAATCCATCATTTTTGAAGATCTACAGTATATATGATAACAATCTAATCAGAATCCAAATAATATTCATTTAAAAAAAAAAAAAAAATATTGAATATTACTTGCTCACTTTACTTTTCACCAGGCTTTGAATTTGGACACTTTGTGCCCTCCACCTGCTTTGACTGACCTTTCAACCACCTGATGAACACTCATAAATTTATAAGCCTTGATAAACTAATGACATCTCTGCCTCTGTGTATATAAACACATACAGCATAATAAATCCTACATTGCCTTGATAAATGAAATGTGTCACCTGAGTATAGTTTTATCTCTTGTCTCTTTTTATTAATTTTGTTTCTTTTACAGATACACTCTGTCTGAGAATATTTCCATATATATATATATATATATATAGACACAAGTAAGATTCGAACATATGATGTATAATTACACTGTAAGTAACATTTAATTTAAAAGAGGGTTCAATACAGAGTAGAGCTAAATATTATTTATTATAGGAGATTTAAAGAAAAACATGCTGCAATTTAATAACTATTGGGTTTCAACACTAAAAATGTGACTCTTCAGGCGATGGTAAATTAATGGCAAGTAAACAATTTCAAAAGCAGACTACTTCCTCTTTTTTTTTTTTTTTTTTTTTTTCAGAAAAAAAAAACGGAATTAAAATGAGGCTTGTGGGTTTTACCATGATAAAACAATATATAATATGACCAACACTAAATTGACCAAGCATATAACTACTTAACATTATGTTAGATTACCTCCCTCTTTCCCTTTAACTTCTTGTGAAAGTTGAATGTTATACTTTTATATATTTTATGAAATAATGTAACCATTTATTTCTGTCCCAAATTAAATTTTCTAGGATTTATATGCGGACAACTTCATGTCATGACATATATAAATTTTTTCAGTTAGTTTGAATTTAGTGCAAATAAAAGCAAGAAGGAGTTATTGAGGCGTGTCAGTGTCTGCGACTTCTGGCCATGGAAAAGGGGTCTCCCAAATTTGGAAGGATAATTAATTTTGCCAAAACCAGACAACAAAGAACTCTTGTTGGAAAGCCCGGAATCCCCAAATACCATCAGCCCCATGCCAATCTTGAGTAAAAATCAATATAAGCAGAACACTTAAACGACCAGCCCCAGTTGGAGTTACAGAAGACAAGAGATAACTACACTGCAGAATCCCACATGACTTGCTGCCAAAGAGAACTCCCGACTTAAGCTTTGTTCTAGACTTAGCTAAAATGAGCAAAGTGTCACAACAGAATTAAAAGTGGGAAGGGTTAATATTTCTGTACAAAGAACAATATAAACCACATAGAAAATTGACCCGAAGAATTTCTTGCTTTCTTTTATTTTGTCTGCAAAGAACACAGTTTATTTTTTTTCTTTGTGACACAGCTTCACTGAGGTTTGAACCAGTGCTTTGATTGCTGATCACAACTCAGTCTTTGCCAGCTCTGTAATCAAAAAGCACAACATGGGGCAGGGCACAGACTGGGCAATCAATATTCAATGACCAGCAGCAATATTGACCAGAAAATGACTGTCAAGAAATTTTAAATATAAAATATAAATCCTGTTTATTTTAATACAAATTGTTTTTTTTTGTTTTTTTGCTTTTTTAAACAAGAAATCCCCATATAATATATGGACTGCACCAACATTGCATTAACCAGATATTTTTATCAAAATTTAAATTATGTAATGGTTAGTCTCTACTCAGCAACTGAAGATTGCATTGTGCATGAAACTCAAAAAAATTTTTTTTTTTTTTTTTTAAACAAGTACCGAGCATGTGAGCAACAATGAAATCTTAGAGAGGCTGCAAACAAGGAGGAGGCTTATACTTAACATCACAAAAAGGCAGCTGAAGTTTCTGGGACACATAATGAGGAAAGTTGACCTGGAGAATCTGATACTCTGAAAAAGAGACAAGGGAAAACATATTATTCAGACTATTGTCCTCATCTTTGTCGCCATATTTATTACGTTTCGGCCGTTGTACGCTCCAGCTTTCTTCAGGTGATTGGAATGTCGAACTTAACTATTTATTTCGCTCACTGGGGTAGACTGTTCTAGTTCCACATGCCATGTTTAATGGATGCCCGTTATCAGTTATCTCCTGTTAATTTCCCTCTGAAAGTTCTCCACTGCTTTAACCAGGTATTGAACTCACACTCTTTGGGTCCTGTCACTGGATCTAACCAACGCCTTTATCCACTGTGCCATGTGTCCTTGAGTGTATGAATTTCTGGGTATTATAAACCTAATGTCTTCAGCAATCATTTTTACCAGTGCTCATATTGCAATTTTTTTTTTTTTTGCTGTTATCATTGCATGTTTTTACCTGAGCTCATATTGCAACTTTTGTTGTTATCACTTTTCTCTGACACTCCTTATTACTGGTTCCAATATTGTATTCGTTTCTATGCTTGATCGGCTCAGGAGATTTTTGTGGCCTAGCATATGTGCGGCTTCCTTAAGTTTATGAATTTTCCAATGGTGTTCCTTGTCTATGATCTCAACCTAATCCCACAGAGAGTGGTGATCTCCCTTCTCTCTCCATATGTGGTCAGCCACGCCTGATTTTTCCACTTCCTCTCATGTTACAGATTTCTGGTGTTCTTGAAGCCTTACCTTAAGGGGGTGGCCTGTCTCCCCTTTATATTTCTTTCCACAGCTACACAGGATAGCGTACACACAGTCTTTAGTCATGTTCTCCTCTATGGGGGGTTTTACTCAGGAGAGATATCTGCGAAGTGTCGTCAAGCTTTTGAAGGTTGTCCTGATGTTATATGGACCACAGATCCTTTGTATTTTCTCTGATAACCCCTTCACATAAGGCAGGCAGACTGTTTTCTGAGTGTTGTTGTCCTCCTCCTCTTGTACCCGCCTATCCCAGTTTTTTTGGGCTGCTGCCATGTACCCAGGGTAGTTGTTATGTTATAGGATACTACTTATACTGACCAATTCTTTATCTAATGTCTCTGGGTCGCCACTTATGACTTTTGCTCGGTGTTGTAAGCATTGGACGATCCCTTTCTTTGTGCTGTATGGATGATGGGAGTTGAAATTGAGGTACTGTCCAGTGAATGTTGGT